GTATGTAAGATCTACTACTCTCATTTAGAAGTGGATCATCTCGACAGTCGGCAAATAACAGTCCTTTAAAAGTACTTAGCGCCTGAGTGTCAATCAGGCCGATTGGACAAACATTGATTTTTGCGAGCTAACGCTTTTCAGTTGTCAAATGCGTTGGTTGAATAGTAGATTGACATTTTCTAATGAGCCCAAAATAAAAATATCAACTAGCACGAATCCCATTTATCACCTATTAATGGTTTTTTTTAAGTAACTCGCGTCTTGTAATTCGTATTGCTCATAGTTTCCTGCGATTTACTTTAAAGACGAGGCCCTTATTATCCTATCAGAGATGGCCTGCAGACTTAAGCCACATATGAAGATAAGTCATCATGATTTTCTCGAGGCACTATTCAAGTAGCTGACGAATTTTTGTTATCGAATCGTATAGAAGCGCTCGTACCTACTACACAGGTTCTGTTCAGCCAATCACCTGAATTTGTTTTGTTTCTGTACCTTTTCCGATTTGTGTACTGAGGCTTGACTAAGCCTCACACAGGATCAGAGAAGACAAGCCAGCTGGAAGAACCTTGATAAAAACCATATTTTGAGCCATCTTCCGGTCGTCTTCACCAACGTGCTGTCACCTCCCTTCTAATAAGTTCAGCTCCAATGGTAAATGGAGTTCATCCTTTACAATAAACATGGCAACCGGCAACATAGACTGCCAGAACTCACCAGTAGACGATTATGTACACGTGTTCCAAACATCGTCGTCTTGTATATGCCCCTCCCAGAGGCCGGATGCGTATTTAACAAAATTGAGAAAAATAAGTGTCATGAAAAGACGGGTTACTATCACACTCCAGATGCAAGGCCAGGATCTTATACGCTATATGTGATATTATAGGCTTCTTTGTGTGTGTGTCGACGGCCCAAGGCTATGGCGTGTCTTCTTCAAATGGCCAATGCGACAAGACTATTGACGCAAAAAACAGCTGAAGAAAAGCGTAATGCCATAGAGTTACATGAAGTCTATTATTGATCGATAACTTTAACTGCATCATTTTATCGCTGCATTAATAATCGTTTTATATTGAAGCTGGAATTGCTTGAAAATTTAGCTCAGGGCGAAATTACGGTATTGGTAACACCTGGTCATGCATCATCTCTTCCAATGCCATGACGAACCGCCCATTATAAGTAATACTTGCCTCGGAGTTAACTATTTCAAACTAGCTATTACTTGGACAGTCTCATTCGGTCGTTGTAAAATTAATAGTGGCACTGGCATCGCATAAAAGCACGAGAAGCACCTGGATGATTTAAAGGACCTCCTGTAGAAGGACTATGCAACGAATCGTAGGCACATAAAATTTCTGCATCCAGTGTGTTTTGCACAGACAGCGTCTCCCTTTTAAGTGAGACCTGGTTTGGACGTTCAATGGCTTTTATAACGTAGAAGCTACTGCATTGCGCTGATCTTGGTAAGTATACGGCTGTCCCTGAGGTTTAGGAACCCGAAGATGTGAAGAACGTACTGGAGAGGCGCGCTGATCTCGACAGGCTGAGCTGGTGGTGTCTTGAATGCCTAGACGCAGACTTTCACCCTGTCACGCACGTTCTTATCAGTCCACATTCAAGTATGTATGTAAAGACGTTCAACGTGCTAACAGGAAGGCCAAAAGGAAACTAGAAGTGGCAGCACATAGTCAGATATAAGGATTTCGATAGAGGTGTCTAAAAAAGAGACGGGCAGTCGTTTTTTGAAACAAACGAGAATGTACTACGTACGCAAAAAACCTACAGAACCATTCTTTGTGGATGCCGGATACATAGAGAGATCGCTTAACGTTTTAGAAAAAAATATTAGTCAGACAAGCGATTCCAGGACTAAAATATTCGGCATCTAAGGCCACAAAAAGCAAGTCCATTGACACACTCCATTGAGCCATCTGTGACTTTATCTGAATGCTGCTTCCTGTATGGATCCTTCATCCCGGGTGTTCCTGGAAAGATCACACGTTCCATGTTAAAAATTGAATTGATGTTCTGCACTAATATGCATATACGATATAACTACTGGATAACTGCCGAAACAGATTATTGGAACAGATTCAGCACCATCGTTAAACATTGTGTCATAAAGTTCTTTTATAATCGCTATTTGTGTATATGCGTTGCACATAAACAACTGACAGTCTACTGATTACTTACTTAAACTTTTATTGTACGTCCCTTTTATTTTGCGTTCGTTTCAAACAAAATGAATTATATATTTTTATACTTATTTTATTGAGTTTTGGTAGACCCTTTGCTCTTGGCGGAATTCATCGTTCCGCGAAGCTGAGTAGTTTGTGGATTATCTTCTTAAAGAACGGGGCTAAAAATGGGCCAAATTCAGAATTCTTTAGCCTGACGTAACTTCCAACGGTTGATAATTTATATTGTGGCTTTTCTCTACGGCATCGATAGCACAGGCAGGACTATTAAGTAATACTCCTGCATTCAGAAATACGTTATATCGCTGGCAACGTAATGACAATAGTATGAGGCTGCACATATGGCAATGATTTCTCATTTGTTATTGATTATACACTCTATTTAATTTCAGATCTTTCAATTACTGAACATAAGCTATCTATCCTCAACAGCAGTAAATCTTGCCATTTCAATCACTCAGACCCATCACAATTCGACTCCCGTTAAATGTCAATATCTAAAACAAAAGTTCTAATGGAAAACATTCTTGGCCTTTCATGTCACTGTGTATTCTAAAAAACAAGTACAAGTTACTATAGCTTACTAACTATTGCAGCTAATATGTCTAGTGCAATAACAAATATTAGGCGAACAACGTTGACTGACAACGTCCCGCCGATTTAACCTCTAACGGACTAATTTATGTGAGCATACGCGACATAAGGCTTACTCTGTCTGTACGTATAGGATCGATGAAAATTAAGAAACGGGTAAATACATCCTATAAAGCACAATCATCCCGCCATCTCGTTTCGGACGGCCGAGCGCGCGTTCTACAAATAGCCCTTTCGTTGTACAGCTAGAAAAGACGACGGTGGCTGGACTATTAAAAAAAACAACTAAGTTTGAATTCTCAATGTGTTATATAGCACACGACATGCCAGAGTGCCCAATACGACACATCCGTCAAATACGGCCATCATACAAGCGCCATAGTTTCACTGAAGGTCGTATCCCTACAGAAAAGGGCACTCTGATGATAGTCTGTTTTCCCTCCAGCCTCAGTTGTTTCTCTTTCCTTGTGGGAATGAAAAATATGAAATGTCCTCTTTCGTCCAGGTTCATGAGGAGTGAGAGCATAGTTACCATGGTGAAAGATAGCCGTAACGGTGATACAAAGCTGCAAAAAAGGCTTGAATCAGTTACTCGTACATACAAGTAAACAGCTTGACCGGTGTTGGATTTAAAATTGAACTTGTTCGTGTAATAAACGGGATCAACAAAAATGAGCGTCGTGGATATAGACCTTACGAAGTTATACAAAGACGATATCTGCAATCGAATGTTTAAGACTTTATGTTACGGACACACAGTACAATAACGCGTCATTTGGGTTTCAGAGCGATTTTAGACAAGGTTTTCTCAAGATTAAAATCCTGCTCGAAATTATAGTAAATATGGAATAGTTTGTCATTCTGTCGTCCAAAACTCAGAAATTCGGTGCAAATTAATCCCATACCTGAGGGTAAACGATGTTTCTCAATAGGATTTGTGCGAGGAGTCCCTTTGCCCCTCGCTGCTTCACCTGTTAGCCTTTTGGAAAATCGATGTGAGAAAAACTGAGCTTTCGCATTAACGGACAAAGTCACGCATCGATTTTTTAGTGATTAGGTAGAAAAGAATAGTAATATTTAACATGATGTAACTAGCATGACCTTCGACCCAAGTGCACGCAATCGCCCACTACACGAATTGCGTATTAGTTAAAAAGATTTTTACGTTTCGTTCAATGTATGTATTAGCTGATCATCAGGAAGCAAATCCTAAACCAGATTAGCTCAGCCTGATGTCTTGGTAGGATAGGATGATAAAGGTTATGGCTCATGACTTCGTTACATTCAAGTACAACGAATACACTGAATATTGACCAGCATGACGCCACTGCCCTTTTGGATTACATGGAGGTTAAGATGACAAAAACGTCGGACTGGCCATAGGCCGCTTTATAACTCCTGCCTGGTCTGTACAGTATCCCTTTTCGTTGCCCTTGTCACGTATAACCTAATCCGTTTGCAGAAATAACATTTATTCGGTCCCCAATAGCAGGTTACTCGAGCTACTGCAATTGCTTTCTTTTAATTGAAATTCGGCCTGAATAAGCTGCTAGAGTTTTGTTTGCAACTCCAAGTGAACTATTAGAGCAGATTCCTATAAACTCCAAAAGATAATTCAATGTAAATAAAACAAACAGGAGCCTAAGTCCTATGAAAAGCGATATAGGCGATTGCTTGATTATTTGAAAAGAAAAAATATTCGAGCTGATGCTTGCATGGGAAGACCTTCAGTGACAAAAGCAGGGAAGGAGCAAAAATTACATGCGTGCCATTTCCGTGATATGTTTCACACATGCCTTATCGACCTCTGTGTTGCGGTATATCTCCCACGAGCTTGAAGAGAATTGCGTGACCTCATCCGATACCCGGAGTCTGAGCTCGTCTCAGCGAATCTTTGCGCGATGAACGGTTGGTCAGTATTCGTCGCGATTGTAGGATTGACGCTTTTACCGGAAATTTCGATCTTCATCTTTCTCAAAACGCCGGTACCACTCGAGCTAACCCTGACAGAATTAGGAAAAAAATGAAGTAAACTGAATAGAAAACCACTAAACTAGCGCCACTTGAAAAATCACAAAAAATTGTATTTTTTATTTTATCAATACATTAATAGTATGGAGAAAAAACTTGCTTAGAATTGCGACAACTGACTGTTTCATTATTAAGAAGTTTTTTTCATTGTTTCATGTACGATGCAGGCTTTTCAACAGGTATCGTGAGGGTACAGATTCCTGTATGTAATGTGTCCGTGCTGACTACGTGTATTACGTATTGCATCAGGAACATAATGACGATACCGCATGTATCGTGACAAAGTATAAAATCAGGCTATTACGTGGTGGGTATCATTACATCAGCAATCCGTAAGTATCTGTCTCTGCTTTAGCGTAAAAATATTTTAACTCACATAGATAGAAAAAATGTTAGAGATTATTGTTATCCTCACCCTAGGTATCACGCAATGAATATACAGAATGAATACAGAATTGATTTCTGCTGAAACCGCTGGTGAACTAGTTAAGACTATCTACAGTGTTTATCGTGTGTGCAGTCTTTAAATAATGATATCGATTTAATTAGATCCTCAAATAGCACTTCATTTAATGCTCATTGGGCGAAACCGTGCAAAACCGCAAGCTGATAATTGAACACAGTAGTGCCTTCGCTGAGACGGAGGTATGCCTCGACGAGGTCTCGTTCAAATTCTTCGACGACGTTCTTGGGTATCGACTGGTAAAAGGGACACACAGCCACAGCTGACTCTGTAAATAAATAAAGTTGAATGCTGAAGTCCGCCGTTGAATCATTCACTCGCACGCATACTGACCGTGTGGGCTCAACTGAACCCGCGTAAAAATAAAAATCTGCATGTATATTGTTCTCAGCAACCATGTGTGCCCTTTGATACCCGAGATCTTCAAAACCGCAAAAAAGATAAACTCTAATTTTTTACATTAAAAATCTGCTTAGCGTTCCTCGGATGAGTATAGCTATCATCATTTAATCAATAGCACCAAATCCACCGAGTCCAAGGAAAATATCTAACTAGAACAGAATAGGAGAGATTGTACTCGTATAAAGTTGCGTGCATGTGTGGTTTTATGTAACTCTGCGGGGTTGTCACCTGTCACTTTCTCTATAGTGATTGCTCTTCCGCATATATTCCACGATAGTTCACGTAGCTTTCTCATTCTAAACACCCTCACTTTAAAACGGACTTTCACTCAATCTGACAGCCTTACATCGCAGCGTCGATCTCGAGCAATCAAGTAAATTTGAGTGACGACGTCGCCGTCCTTGACTGACTGTCAGCAGCTTGGCCAAAGCCACGCACTGACCCCCTCGTCAGTTAACCGATCTAACATTGTACTTCCTGACAGTTCAGGCCTAAAGTCAATCCAAACCCTACCTACCCGAAGCTTTGCCACGGAGCCCAAGAACCAACTTTTATATTTCTCGGTCCTTGAGGCCTGTGAGGTTCAAAGTACGAAGCCGTCCGAGAGTTCGCCCTGCCATCCCTTCCGTTGCCCCTCCTTCTTTAAGTCGTCCGACACTGCCTCCCCACCCTCTGTATTGCACGGCTCAGCGCGCTCATTGTGGCTAAAATTAAGCTCACTTTCAACTATGCCTAGCACCCCAAGCGAATATCCTCTTCCATTTCTTCTCCGGTTTCGTCCCCATATACTCATAGCTATAAGAAGGCCTTATCCCTTTACTACGCCCCTGGCCTGCTCGGTCCTGATCTCCAATTTTGCCCAACGCGAGGCCAACAGCTTGTAAGAGGCCCAAAGGTTCTGCTACTGCAAAGGTCTGCGCTGCGAAGGCTTACGGCAGCGGGTCAGGGGTCTGAAGCTCACAAGTCAACCGGCTCCCGACCCGTAAGTACAGAGCTACTTGAACTGCACAGACATCCACAAACTGACGTAACGGAAAAGCAAGAGAAAAACATGGAACGAGAACAAAAGGAACTGCCTAGATGGACACAGCAGACTGCAGCACGTGCTACCAACAGAGGATCGGGGTATGGGGACTATGAGAACGACAACGCCACCGCTGCCACGAACCTGACTGGCTAGCTGACCAGCTGACTGACTTTGGCAAACGGTCGGAGCTGGTACTCGGGAAACTTAGGACAAACGGTAAATAAAAGTGAAAAAAGGCGGGCTAGCAGCAGCGTTGGAAGGAAGCAGGCGAAAAGAAAGACGTCGAATATATTATCCCATCGCTTCGCTTGGCAATCGCCTCTCTCAAGATCCTCAGTTCCCTACACACGGTGCTGCCTCTAGACAGAGGGCTGGTAGCATCAGCGGGCTGCGTTCTGAATACAATGCCCTACGCTCGTTTTATTCCAGACGGGCCTCTCTCGCCAGACCTTCTTTACTAACGTAACATTCCCCTCCAGTACAGAAGTAGTACCAGCAGTAACTCTGGCGATCTCCGCACAGGCTCATCTTTCTCATTCGAGTCGGACAACCGACGGCTGGTGAAGGCAGCCGCCTTCAAAAACAAGACTGTCTGAGTACTGGCGACATCAGACTGTGAAACATGCGCTCAGATAAATATAACGGAGGTATGTGCCAGTGTGCCTGCTTCTATCGATTTCAACTACCTGAGATAATGCGGATAGATTGATGAGGTCTTTTTGCCACTTTTGTATTAGCAGAAATTCTGCTTATTCAATAGCGAAAACTATCTAATGCGGAACTTTTGTAACTGCTGCTAAATGTGCTGGTTAATATATTAAAAAGTATTGTATTTAGTTGACTGGGCTTTGCGAGTAGATTCCGTATCATTTATATCAGAGAGTAAAACGATTAAACAAAAACGATTAAATAAATCTGCGTAGAAATAAGCTACAATTCTGATGTAATTACATGGAATGCGATGCCTAATACGAGAGCAGACGTTGCCAAGCCCAAATCGAACATCACACGAACGCTGAGCTACTTTGTACAAACGTATACACTTTGATATTAAGGACATTTGCTAATCCTTAAACTATTCACAATAGGCAGGCTGTATAAATGTACCTTTCTTTACAGTTGACATGCAACATTTGACATGTCTACGTGTTGGTTCTTCGTCAGTCAAGAATCTGTAAAATCAACTGTAAAAGATTTATCTGCGCGACCGGAGTTCAGAGTTTGTCCGGAGAGAGAGTGTATAATACGGTTAGTTCCAATAAAATCAAAGCAGTATAATAGTTGTATATTAAGAAAAAAGTTGTATTTCATAGAAGGATTCACTATTGTTGAATATCGTACACTGTGACATGGCAACTGGAAGCACTATAAGGAAAGGCTGCTAATAAGCAGGGGACCTTCGTACACGACCCGTTTGTGTTCTTACTAAGAATATATAGTTGAACATCGTCCCGTCTCCAAAAATCTTCGTTTAATTAAAAAAATTAGATCTTTTCCAACAGTATGTCATTAAATTCAGACACAGTACCAACATGTATACAGGAAACGTTCCTAAAGTAAACTATAATATGTGAGGAAGTCAACAAGGTCGATTTTAGAATATTCCAAAATACATTCAATTATCGCAACAAGTAACCACAGATGATAACAAATAGATCCTGTGCTGCAGTGTCCAAAAATAATCCAATTTGCTGAAAAACCCGCACATTATATAGCGTTTGAACCGATTGAAGGATTCGGTCGTTTTATAGGTGTTACAAGCAGGTGTAATGACCTGCAATAGCGGGAGAAATGAGTAACTGCTAAGTCCTTGGATCTATTGCTAACGGAGTACTGAATTAATTTGAAACTGACGGTCGTCTGGAGTAACGTCTTACAACTTAAGGACTTAAGCAAACAGGGACTGAGGGCACAATTCTATCATAAAATATCCTTTCTTAACATATCAATAAGTCTATTTTAAGTGATTCGTTGGCTATCAGCAATTACAAAAAAAAGATATGAATCAAAATATCTGACCTCTAAGCGTCTCCATTGATGGATGTTGACATTCGAGGTTCAGCACTTCGCAGCTACGAAGTCCGAGACCACTGCTCGCGGCAAGTCCTTCCAGGTCTTTCTGGCAATAAATTTCACCAAACGGGATATGCGACTCATTCTGGAAAAGACGCATAGGTTCATACGCTTCTTCTTTACTGTAATTATCTATTGGGGAAAATTCGGTCGACACTAGCGAAAACTCTTGTCCGTGTCCCTGAACAGATATTATTTCTCTCAACTCATTTTTGCACGCAGCTGAAGACCATGTTTCACTTATCAGTGCGGCTTTGTTAGACCGCGTCATAGTTCCCATCTAAAAGCTTTTCAAGTATATTTAAATTGACCTTCGATTTAGCTTAAACGAACCCACAAATCACCATTTTATTATTAATGCGTTTGCCAACGATCTGAATTCATGGATATAGCCAATTCTACACAATAAGCCAACCATTTGACCAAGACATTGTCATATCTTTGTATAACATTCTGCGTTTGGATACATAATGACAACTCTTTTCTAAGCACGACTGCCTTATCTGATGATTCAGCCCCTTCTGACGAAAATGTAAATATCTGATCAAACGTCGCTTGACGTACACAGCTCTAACAGAAGCTATGTGTTAGATACCCGCTTCATAATCTCTTTAGCTGGTAGCGATAGTATATGATAAGAAATCGAGGTACTTTAAATAGTAATTATGAGCAGGAGCGCGCGCACGGTCCCCAGCATTTCGCGTCCGTGTATAAAGACAGCAGCAACCTATGGGTAATATGAATAAGCTGGGCTAATATTATTCAACCTTTGTCATCCGGAGATAACGGTGTAATTTGACGTGTCCTGCGGAGTCACGTAACGACGATTCTGTCATTTGCTACCGTGACTGGCCGTTGCTGTTGCTAAGCTTATGCATCACGATTCTAATCATATATATATATATATATATATATGTAAACAGAATGACGGGAAAATGCTTAGTAGCGATGAGTAGTAGACAAGTTACTGCTTGGGCGTTTCTTGGCGCTCTCAACTACACGCCCACGGCTGTCGCTTACCTTTCCGTTTATTATCCTGCAAGCTTGTTTGGTCAATGTTTGAAAATGCTTAATACATATGCATTACCTATTTACATGATCTTAGATATCGCATGGTTTTAATCTATGAGTTTTCCGGTTGAATTAATATAGAGAAAAGAAAGTTAATTATGTAGAAAATAGTTAGAGAAAGTCGGCGCTGGCCTTTCGTTAAAGGTTTCGTTTCAAAAGCGACAGGTTGAGCCCAAAAATGGGGCTTCCTTATACAACTCAAAGAACCCTGAAGGATTCAGAGAAAATTCAGTGCGTTCGTTCAAACTTTTGCCCATCATATTAACCTACGATCGTTTTAGTCGATATGACTTTTCATATCTTCTGTGATCAGATGTTAAGCTTCAAACCACCCGAGTATCTTTGACTCAGCTCGCACAATACTAACAAGCAAGGCTTCTATTTGTCGATTGAGCTTGTCAGATCTGATGCTGATGCGAATCTGACGTAACTCTTCAAACGTTTACTTATCTTAATCGACGGTAATGACTTTACGGTAAGCAGATCCATATACAGTAGAATCTATAATGATAAGCCAATTCGGGCATTTGGAATCAGTGGCGCGAAATGTGAAAGAATCTTGGAAACAGCAAATGTTAACTGTATCTTGCCTTGTTAAAAATAGCTTGACACATATTTAAGTAAATGTTAATTTAGGCCCATTTTTGTCGTTAGAGGGCATTACTTACGAAATACTTAGCCCATCGCGGCTTTTTGGCAAGATCGTGGTAAACCAAAACCGCAGGGTTGAGCGCCAAAAACGCGAGAAGAAACTCCGAATCGGACCTCGCTGCAACGAACGCCGGTGAGCTTTTTGGCGAGTCTTTGACAGATCGGGGGGGTCTGAGGAGTCTGCGGATATTTTTCAACGCTTTTCCAAGGTCTCGTACCCAGTGCAGTGCGTACAGGGAAAATACAACATCGAAATAGCCGTACTTCGACAACAATAATTCAGTCGATTCCCTGTAACAGAATTAAAAATCTTAGTGGTATCAGCCTTTAAATATACGCTATTTTCGTTCACCGCTATTAGCTACATTTTTAAAGTATAAATGTTTGCTTTAAATCTTGACAAAAAGAAGAGCAAACCATTGTCTGCATAAAGTGAAAGGTTATTTCGCCATTTGTTTTGTTCTTATGAACCTTCAAAAATGTATTTGGGTTCTGTTTCTTTTATTTCGAAGACTTTATACGGGTTTGTGTTTCTTGATACATTCTGCTTATCGTCGGTAGCTCACTTGTCATTCACCAGGTCTCATTTGGGCTTGATCCCGTCTACAAGTTCAAATCGTTAGAGCTCATTGCAATCTCATCTGTAAGGTGGCTCAACAGGTAGGGGTTTTGCTCGACTTCGTCAACCATCTGCACCTATTATCGTCACGAAGTAAGATCACCACTGTTTGTACGAATCGCTTGCGTACTCTTTACCAACCCATCCGCATACAACGTACATGTAGACGTAAGGATAGACACTTGGCACCGCGTCATTTTTCTCCATCGTGGTTCCCGAAACCTGGTTGGTTCGCGTTTCGCCAAATGCCTTTCCCGTTTCCCTACCATTTGCCCCGTTTCATCGCTCCCGGACATTGGCTGCCTACAACAAGCTGCCCACCTGCCTAAAACGCGGCACCCGTAGAGGCATCATGCTTTTGCTCTGGTTCGAAAATAGAGCCCGCCCGTGCCTTGACTGCTGGATGTTGATATCACGACAAGGCCAGCAGCAGCGGTGGTGGCGCCAGCGGTGGGTATAACGGCAGGAGACGAAGTAGTGACGTCTGCTTGTCAAACTTTCAAAACCTCTGGGATTCGGAAAGCTCGTTTTACCACTCATAGCTATTTCTTGTGCTTTTGCTGCTGCTACCATTACAACAACTACTTCCACCCTGCCATGCCTTGGTATCGTATCAGATTCGAACGAACCTTAGGACCTATACTCCGCAAGGATAGATCTGCCTCTCGCCGTGCTTTTCTTTCTTCGGGGCAGTAGGAGGAAGCGTCAATAATAGCCGCATCCTTGGGGTATTACGTCCGAGATTCTTACACTGCTACTTTGAGTGGCCTGATGCTGTTTCGAGTGCTAGACACGTTGTGTCATGTTGCCTTTCGAGTGCACTATACCAAACAGCCTCCAGCGTCGAGGCTTTCCAGCGAATCTTGGACTTGGAGGCAGTAATCGGGAAACGACCAGCGTAAGTCCTACAGCGGCTCCTCAGGCGTCTGAGGGACGTTGGGAAGTCCATGGGGGCATGGCAAAAATGGCGACATCGCCACCTCCATCGGGCGAATTGGAGTCATCGTCAGTGCCTTCACAGATGGCAACGCTAATGCTGCTTTTGCTGTTGCTTGCCAATCTATAAAAGAAGGCGGAATGGGCAAGAAACGTCGCCGGATGCCTACGCTTGGCCTGCGAACCCGTGTCATCACAACCCTGCAGCAGGCACCATCCACCGATCAGAGCAAGAAGGCACCAATGGCAACTAGTGAGCTCTGTTACCTCCGGCCCAGTTTGTTATTTTTCTATCTTATTGGCGTAAGGTTTAGCGCAACGTAACGTAGAAAACGCCCGCCAGTTTATACGGGTAAAGGATTACACATTACATTAGAGGTTATTACACGCTAAAAGCAAGTTGATGAGCGTGCAAACAGGCAGCGTTTCGGTAACGGGTAAATAAATGACACTTCTTTGCACAACATCAGCGATACGCAGCTTCGCAGCGTTGCCCTATGGCCATCCTCGGTCAGACGTATTCCATCATGAACAAGCAAGCAGCAGAGGTAAGGACTCATACCCTTAGAATATAATACAATTGACAAGGCATATTATGCTACTTTCATCGACGGTACTGGCCTTCTGAAGATGTCTGTTTCGATTAGTCAATAGGTCAGGTAGGCACGAGCCTGGCTTCTTGCCCTGTCTGTCAATAGACAAATACTAAAAAGCAATACAAATAATAGGTTCACCGCACATACTTCAGCCGAGTCGAACGTACTGTGTTCAATGTGCAGGTCACGCAAACATTTCTATGACACTAGGTAATAGTATATAGCCTGTACAGAAAATCAAATAGTATATAATAGACGGATACCTAAATTCGTGTCTATTATATACTATTTGATTTTGAGTAGCTAGGACTGCTGCTTTAATTTGTGGTCAGTATATATTCGTATATATAAGCGAAAGTTGAGCAAAAGAGAACATTTTCCTATATCGATCTTATAACATACAGTTGCACATTTTAAACTAAATGATGATACAATCAACGCCCCCTGGCGATTTTACATACTATGTTTAGATGTATCGATTTTGACGTCACTAAAGGTTTTTTTTTTTATTTTCAGATATATACGGCTACAATTAGCATTTATCAGAAGATCGCTAAAAAAAAAACTTTCGAAGGCTTCCCAAAACGCGTTTTCGCCTGACTGTTATAGAAGAAAGCGCAATTTGTTTTTGCTCATTTCCATTTAAAATATAGTTAGATAAATTGCAGTTTTACTCAGATCGTTAATCTTCCTATTAGTGTGAACAATTGGCCTCAATCAAATAATGCCTTACTTGTAGAAAATATGCTCGATATTTTAGTATTTCCTTTAGATAATATTTTATAAAAAAAAAAAAAAAATATTGGCTACACAAACTTTTGAACTGACCGATATCGGAAAAACCGCTTGGAGTCTTCGGCACAAGTTTTTACTCTACCGGTACATGGACAAAAAAAAAAACTATTACATTCGTTTTTCGCCCATTTTTGTACGCAAAAAATGTTAAATGTCCATCAAGATCTATCAGTTAAAAGCATATAGCACCCTGTTAAGCTTTGAGCTTTTTGAAGGCATTTTTTACTTGACGATTGACATTTGGCTGTAGGAACATCTTGAAAGCTTCATCGCAATATATCCCCCTCGACCCCTATGATTCTTTCACATATGTCAGGATAAGTGATTCTTCAAATAAACCGTCTAAAAAGTGTAAAAAGAAAAGATGTACTTGATAGTCAAACAGATTGAGAAAGAGACAGACGCGACAAAGTGCAAAATAAATAAACTAGAATTAAAGTTGGCGTCGATAGCTCATTACAGGTGATGGAAGACACGCGTAGGGTGTACATACCGTAAAAGACTACGGCGCTGGTCGGAGAGTGACAATGTAGCGGCTAGCGGATAGGACTTTATAGCCTAAATGTGTCCGAACCAGCTGCTGTTCATCGGTCACTTTCTGACCGTAGCCCTATGAATGTAAGGGATTACGATACCAATATCTTACTATGCAATAAACTAAGCTTCCATCGGACGACCCTATACTTCTCGCGTTGACGCATTTCCGACTTTGTAATTTGCCTAGCTTTGTCGAAGCGGTCTAGCCGTATATTTCCTACACTAGCACATAGAACACTTGCATGTACAGTAACATCCTTTATCAGAAGGGACTCAACGGTTTCCTCTTATCTCGGATGCCCGGTATCTGCAGTGAGCTCTTCTGCTACATAAGTGAGGAACCGAAACATACAATTGGCTATGTCGGTCTATTTAAGCGTAGTGCGACATGTCTGAATGTTATCCCTGGCTTTTGTGACCGGTCACGAAAAAGCCTAGGAATAAGGACCATTTTCGTTTTGGTAAATTGGAATGATTCATTGGCACCGCCTATTGACATTTTGACCCAAACTAGAACGACACACGTATTTGCTTTAGGGTCACTGAATGCAGGCATAGTTCACAATGTAAGCAAGTATTTCTACAGTTACTCGACCGTGATTTGAGAAACCTCTTTCAACGTGCGAAGTCAACTTATATAATAAATTGTTGTCTGTTTATGTGGAGAAATCTCTTACAGATGAAGGATGTCCAACCTTTCAACATCGACAACTGCCAATTCGTTCGTCATTTGTGAGGTGTCTAGCTTTTGATCGGCATTTAACTCTTTTGACAACTTTCGTAATACTGTCATCGTTTATCTTCAAAACAGTTGCACGTTCGGTAGTTAAGTAAGTTGGTTTACTTATTTATAGGAGAGTGGTTGGCCAATTAAATAACCGCCGCTATAGTTGCTACACATGGCTTCGAAAAGTGTATCATGTAGGTATTGGAGTTCCCGTCTACGTCGACACTATCGCCTACTCACACAGTAATAATTCCTTTGACGGCGCCATGTTTTCGTTCTGCACGCGCACACTAGTTCGTAATCCGAAAAAAGGAACGAAAGCATTCAATTATCGTGTTCGACTTCAAGCGACAGCAATTGGCCGAAATCGATTCCGCTAACGACCTCGTTTTTCCCCCAAAAGGAGTGCGGTTACAACTGCATCGATCTGTTACTTGGATGTAAAATTTCTTCACGAATCACACTGAGCCCTTCGACCAGTAGTATCGAAGCATCAAAATGCCTAGCCTCAAAGTCTAGTTCTATTGTATTGTATTTCTGGATCTACTTGGCAGTGCGCAGAATGCGATTGATAGGTGGTGTCAACCAGTAAGTATCCTGCAGCCTCTGCAGTTCATGATATAACTATAAGCATCGTGGGACGCATAAATATGCTTTGCCGTCCCATTTGCTCCGTTAGAGGAAAAACATACGCGCTCTTTGTTTACTCGGACGTCTGTCATGATCTTCTTGAAAACTTTATTTTTGTTGTCAGTGAAATTTCGTCGTCGTTCCTCACGCTCGTTTTTCGTATCTGTAATTAGATTGCCGGATCGTTTAGTGGTACCTTGGCGCCAGCAAGTAGGGCTATTCATTGGGGTGAGGAAAGATGTCCTGTCTGCTAAGTGCTCCCAGCGAATATTCAGTGCGATGAATCCCTATTTGATGAGACAGTTAGCACATAATATAACGACTAATAAAAAATCGTCACATATTTGGTCGTTGAAAATGCGCTATAGCCGCTGCGTTAATTCAGGGTCATCCGAGTTAGTAACAATCAAAGGAAATAACTAGCGAATTTTATCAGCCATTTACCTAACTATTGCTTGTTACACTGCTCCTACGAGGTGTACGGTGTTTTTTTGAAAAATCCTAATCAGGTTGCGATCTCTGCATAGCTGTTTCCTGTATGAGCGTCAACGGTGCGAAATTCGGTTACAAACCGTGGCCCGTAAACGAGTAGAAGCAGTGGCTAAAGAGGATGATATTATAGCGCAGTTATGTTGGGGCAAATAGGGTATGTTCCTTCGAAGCGTTGCCGCATATATATAGTTCGACCTTCGAGGCTGTGACTCAGTCAGTTGTGTCTATGAGCATAGGAAGGTATGCATGCCAACTCATTGTAATAGTTGAATTGTAGCCTAGCAGTGAATTTGGCGTGTAGTCGTTCATTTTTTTTTCGGTATCGGGAGCTGTATCATTGCAAATGTCAGTTAATGCATAGGCGCCACAATGCCTCTTAAGTGGACAACCATCGTACCTTGACAAAATCATAATCTAAAGTACTATTTTCATTGTTATCATCGAAATTATTTTTACCACTCCACCAGAACGCTTAACTCGGCCTGTTATATGAATATTGTTGCAGAAAAAGAATATAAAGAAAAGCTTACGACAATATCATTTCCTACCATTTAGCCATACATGTGTGAAAGGAGCCTAAAAAGGAAGCCGTTTAAAAGGCTCATTTTATAAACGGACTCCATTGTCAAACAGATAGGTATTGTTAGTAATAATAATGGTATTAAGATAAAGATTAAAACCGGATTAGCATTACCCCTTCCTACAGGAAAGAGGAATTATACTTTTAGAAAAAAAAATTACGTACAGCCAACAATATAAAAAGCAACGATCCATATTGCATTAATAGTCTGGATAAGACTAGAACTATTTTGAGTAAAAATCGCTATTTTACTGTAAAATCGGGAGAAAGTGAAATATCAAAAATTACTTTTTAAAGCCGATTCTCTTAAAGCCTAAAAAAAAACTGTTCATCCGATCAAAGAAGATGAACAAAGTATAGCGAGATCGTACAAGTTCTACCAAAAATTTTGCAAATTACCAAATTAGCATTAGACATCCTATAGAGGAAGGAGGTTGCCTTATGAAAAAACTGCACGAAGAGAAATGAAGATCTTTTACCAATTTTGAACTACCTCAGTGAAGCCGCTATTTTACGTAATATAGGAAGTACTTTCCAAACCGAATGCTTCAGTTTTGTAGAGTTTGATAAACAAATAGTTCTTCATCATAAACCTCCGCAATAATTCTCAACTCTTATCGAGCAAATGGTAACAAACAACCCATTTTTCTGTATTCTTCCGGGAACTCCATCTTCCGCGCACATTCCTAGCATGGGAGACTTTTCTGATCACGCCATGAGGTTTGGGTATGAAGATTTGGGCCGGATAAATCAAGGTTCAGAAATATATGGACATAGAGAGTAAATGATCCATATTACTCCTTAAAGTAAATAGTCGTAAAATACGAACTTACGTTGAACTAACATCATATACGTCATAGCAGATTGAACGATGTGGGTACGATTCGCGTGCAAATTCTACCATGGCCGGTGAGAGATCTGTGGCGACCAGCCTCTGAGCACCTAGATGCTCAACAGCCAAAGGCAAGAGCAGGTCGTGCGAACTATCTCCGCTGCCACAACCAATGTCGAGCACTAACGAGATCAATGTACAAACAAAATAGGAAAAGGAAAGTAATTAAATAGGCATTCAGTAGCAAAAATTATTTTTTAGTTTGTTATCATTAGAATAGTGTTTGAGTACTTCGTATGGGCAGCAAGAGCGTCTCGAACAATTAATAACTATTATTTTGCTTTCTTTAATTAATGTTATTAATCCAGAATTATTGAACTGCTATTAAGTTTTTCAAACTGCTGATAGTTCTAAACATTTCCGTCGAGGACACATGCTCCGACCACGTCACGCTACGTGGAAAACGTACGTTTTATTGAATCGGAGTTACTATACGTAGATTTCTTTATTTCCACTTAAGCACATTAGCACAAAAAACGATGCAGGCTACAAAGGCTATGTATGGCTCCCGTTCAAAATCTGCGAGTCTCACTTCGTATGGGAAGCTCGAACGAATTTTTTTAGGACACTTAAAAGACAATTTGATATCTTCAGCAATGTTAACGATTGCTTGCCGAATCATTGAAGACTTTATATCCCTACATAATATCCAGTGACATGAAAAACTGCTGAACTGTTCTATAGCGAAGACAATATTAACATACTGACCTTGTGCCGACTCGAGACAGAGGTTTCTTTCGAGAGTGTTCTTGTAGAAATCCAGAATCATTTGGTTATCTCTCCGTTGAAGGTCGTGGGCACTCTGATACAGTCTGGGATTTTCTAGGCCGTGATTGCGCATGCGGCGCGAGTACAGTACCACCTTACTTAGCTGCCGCGCCTGATGCACAGCTACCGATAGCCACATCGTTATTTTGCAATCCTTCGCTGAGACTATTCAGTCGCTATTGAACGATACAGAATGGCGTGACGATATACCACAGTCTTCGTCTGTGCACAAACGAACTAAGCAAAAAAGGTCAGGTCGAAGGCGGTTTAAATAGCTGCAGGTAAGTAAATGCAGGAGTAGTGATTTGTTTTAAGGAAGACCACCCCGCTGGCCAAGTCGAGGAAAACTCATTATTTCGTTACGCGCCTTACTACTCCAGCTATCATATTGTGACGTATACTATAGCTAAAGGAGCGCGAATAATTGAACATTTTGGTTTAAATTTCATATAACCTTACGCTTGAGTGTCTTCAACGAGCTAAAAGTTGCTCGTCGACATATGTGGGCGTTCGATGCCTGAAATCGCTGAGGCTCTATTCTAATTATAGATAAACGAGCCTATACTTTATATCTTCAATGCACCCGATATTTCGATTGACAGGTTTTCATTCCAGCTGCGAACGTGACAATTCTATATTGTTCGTTTGGCCTATTCCATAATGGTGAATAGATATCGTCCTTCCCGCCTTGCTATAATCATCTTGCAGTGTGTTATCGATGACACACAGCATAAAGGAGGCGTGATCCTTATCATCCTATAACATATGGTCCTGCGTTTGTCTCCGACGTGATCCGAGTTGATATTGGCTCCTGTTTCATTGGTGCATACGTTGTGATAGAATGTTTACACAAATAGTACGTTGTTGTAGATACTATTTGCTTGTTTTTCGTGATTTATTTTCTAAATGACGGAGTCATTTTCATTCCATTAGTATCTCTTCAATTTCATTACATTTATATCTCTTATGTGACGATCTCGAGAGCCAGACGTACTGCTTTTTGACGGCGTTTCTATCGTTGCTAACTAATATGTGCTAGAAACGATCTGATTCGGTCCCGCTGAACGGAATCGCGTTTACAGGTCAAGAACACTGATACATTCGCCGTACGTATGCGCATATAATGTATTAGTAGAATACTAAGTATTATGAATTGAGTTTATTAATTGATCGACTGCAGAAGATTCTCATCTGTAAGGACTGATATCAGTGGCGGGTGCACATAGTACACACGATCAGTGTCGTAAAAAACGTTGAACAGCTTAACCGTGAATCGCTTAATTATTTTTAGATCAGAGATTGTTGGAAAGTCTACACTAAGAACAGAATAGTCTACAAGCAGGTTATCGCATGCTTTCGTGAGAATTTTTCAGCTGAATTGGGGTATTTGAGGAAACAAGTGGGCACAATGACACCTAAGAGATTCGGTCACGTAAGTACCTCTCTTTGTTCGCCTTTTGCAGATAGATATAATAATTATTCTATTGTTTTCTATCTATAGAGGAGTCGAAACACAGAACGCGTACTGTTTGTTAAGAAGCGAGCTCTTTTTTGATAGGTAATTGATTGCTCCTAAATTAGAGCGAGATATAAATACAATTGCTTCTCAGATGTCTATAGGACAGACACTAATGGGTTTTTGCTAAAGAATATTATATATAGGAAGAAGAAGAAAGACGACGATTGTTTATTAGGTGCTCAATAACGTCACAGTGAGCTATTTTTTGTTATTAAGAAGCTATCCGAAGTGTTTATTACTTTGGCCCTGACTGCGCTGGCGACGATTCATTATATTGTGACTATTCGTGGGGCTCAGTCTTCTTTATTACGAGTACCAATAGTTGGCCAATATGGTATGACGGATGCTGACTGTTTACTGTTAATCTCACTCATTTCCTATGCTAGTCATCTCGATTTGACTTGATCCGTCTTTTTCTTCTTAAACTCTTCCTTCAATTAATTTTCCAGATCACTAATTAACCATGGCACTTCTCTTTTTTGCTCATTTCCCTTTGGGTCGTCCAACGTTAAACAATTTATAGCTAAAGTCCTCGCTAAACTTAGTGCCAACGACCACTAACGCCAATTTAAAAAGTCATCCTTTCAACGAGATGGTGCGTTTAGCTGATGCTTACGAACAAGCACCGGTGTTTTCGTCTAAAGTGAATTCTCTTTACTGATGTACATATGTGTAGCGCATCATAATAACAGAACGTAAATAAATTGCATACATTCCTATAGTAATAAAAAGCTGCTCACAACAGAGGTAACTCCATTCGAGTTAGAGAATATTACGAATATTCGAAGGGCCCTACCACAACGAGGTTCGTGTTCGGTCCCTAATGCAAGATTCTAGCGAGGAAGATCGTTCAGTTGTATATAAATTCGTGCTAATCGTTCATGTATCTCTAAAAAAATCGTGACTCTTCTCTAAAACATGAAAGAAAAAGCTGCTTTCGGTAACCTTGACAAGTTTATATTATCATACGTGCAGGCATTATATATGTATGTATATAGTCGATATGAAGAATCGAATGCTTTTCGAGCTAAGTATATCGGTATTAAGTTGTTGGAAAAGTTACGGCATTGACTGGTTTGCTAATTTTACGTTCGCTAATGATCAAGTATTATATACCGTTATAAGGCTCTTCTTACCTTCTTCAAAAATTTTACATCTCGATTGTAAGAATAAATAAATTTTAAAAAAATAATCAAAAAATAGACACGCGCAATTAAATAAAACGACGCTTGCCGCACCCAAATTTCTCTTTACAAGTTTTCGAAATATCACCCTGAATTGGTGTGCCGTATACGAGGAACACTCTAGAGCTGGCGTCTTTCTTAAGAGATTAATGCTTAAACTACTTCCGACCCAGCATAACCGGGGGCGTGAGGGGCCATTTATGGTGCTAGAAAAGCTTTTGCACTAAGAAGAAGTCCCCAAAAAATTTTGCGCTTCTCAAGGGGCTGTGTATACTGGATTAATGACTGAAAAACCGAAAAAATAATTCTATCGAGCCTTCAGTTGGGGAAGATTTAATAGTTGTTCGCGTTATTCCTAATCGGCATACAAAGGCGCCCTTATTTGTAGTAGTATTCAGCTTCCTGATAGATTTTTCCTTTTTCGTACCTGTCCAAAATCGTGTTTATTTATCCATTAGAATCTGGTATACGCGCCAGTTTATACTCCATAAAGAGTCAATGTTCGATTAATATCTGAGCCATACAGAATAAAACTGGCCATGTTTTTCTTTGTACTAGAAAATAATACATTTATAAGAATTCTGACCACTCTATTATAGTAATGATTTGTGAATTAGATTGGGTGGCTTGCCACTTGATTACTTGATACTATTAAAGGTGTAAGGTTTTTTCAATCATTCCCCTACTACTTTAGTACTACCCGAGTACTTAGGCGATAGCCTTACGTTACTTAGCGCTGCTTCGTATGAAACAGTTCTGAAGGCTTCAGCTGGTCTTGGTACAGTTGAAAAGCCTCTTGAGTCTACATCCATTGGTTTTCCTTCGCGCGGCAATATTGGTCCGTAGTGGTCCAGTGTACAAGGTAATCGAATCTGGGAATAAATTAGTATTTTTATGGCTTCTGTATTAAGGACATAATACACGGGCTGGATTAGGACTCTGGGCAAAGTCAAACATCATGGCCAAAGTTACAACTCTTTCTTTGTTTTTTACCTACTGTCAGTTGTTTACAGTTAAACGCAATCCTTTCGCTTAAGAAAGCCGTCTGTCGGGTGCTCGTCAATTCGGACTCGTTTGAAATTATAGTCAGTTTGTTAATGTTCTGTACGTTTTCACGGCAGCGAGCGTTTTATTATGCCAGGAAACCCAGTACCACATCAGTCCACTCCTAGCAAGTTCATAGCGAATGCTGTCGGTATCTACGACTTCGCCTATCTGCTTTTTCGGCCCCAGTTGCAGAGAGCTACCCGCGTGTAACTATTTTTAGTGGCAAGCCAAATGAGGCAAAAAATTGCGATATTCCCACGTGACATCTAGCATTTCTTACTTAAAATAGAAAATAGATAACTAAATATTAGCCAGAACGGCTTATAGTAATGAGCGCCTTTATGTTTTGATTTGTTCTGAAACATTATAAACCTCTCGCTGTCTAAGCTTTTATTAAAAATTCATTTTCTGTTTCTTTGTGAAGCAATTCGCAATTTTTTTTGCCCTTTTTCTTGCTGTATATATATATATATATATATATATATATATATATATATATATAAATAAGAAATAGCACAATTGGTTGCTTTAATTTTTCTGGTATCTCATAATCCATATGTCTGTGCATTTGCACCAGCCTATTTCACCATCCTCGCCGTCAGCACAAAACCTCGTGCGGGGCAAGACACAGAACGAATTAGGCCACGCAAATATTTTGCTTGCTCCTTTTGTTCTGATACATGCGTACCATGAAAAGCAATTATGTAGATTACGGCATACTATGGAGTCCAATGAAGGTTGTCGTCAACCAGGGACCCTGACAATCGCCCGAGGGCGTCCATATGGCGCTGATATCAAATACTCTTTGCTGGACGAGTCTGTGTTTGTACTCGCGGGATCTATGATGTATGCCCTCCTATAATGCTCGTGCTAACCAGCATTCTTCCCCTGGTCGGTATTAGGGAGTATCGGTGTGTAGAAAGAAGCAGGTTCGCGGTAAATCGGTACATTTCTTCGTAATAAATTGTTGCACTATTTCCGGCGCAAAAAAAAAGTCTAGCGGGCATAATGGATAGATATAAGTTATTACCTCTTATCTAAACAATTTTTTCATTATGAAATTATTGCCCTAAGGTAACTTCGGGAGCCGTTATAGAAACCACCGTTCTCGATTTATGCCATGACTTTCCATTGCATTGGTAAGAATCGCAAATACATCCTGAAGGGAGTTCTATATGGAAGTACAAACGTTTCTTCAAAATCGAATTGTTTTTCAATTCAGTTAAAAAGATTCTCGTTTTTTAACTGTTTTTGGATCCAGTCGCTCGAGTTTTTCTAATATTGTCCCGTTTCATAGGTGTTATTGCAGGCCATCTTTCCGCTATTAGCTATTCCGCAGTTCGTATCAAAGCCGCTACAGCGATTTAGTAACATCAAAAACATGAAGTCCACGGATATTTTTATTTCAGTTCTAA